TGTCTGGCGACGTAGGGCAGAGGTGGCAACGCTAAAGACGGCACATGTTTGTGCTCTTAGTCGCAAAACACGGCGACACAACAATGGAGTCTTGAAGAGGAAGGTTGCAGACCAACAGGAGCCAGGAGACCGTCGGGTCTAAAGTACAGGACGCTTTGATCTCGACACCCACGTGACTACGAAGACAAAGCAGGCGCTGTCAGGGAACGGAGGCGCCCGCTTGTTCGCCCACACGCTACGGGACTGAATATATTGCCGGCAGAGATGGACACAGGTGGAATAAGTAAGTATCAAAAGGCAGGTGGAAGGAACCACCGCACGTACACGCTGCCCGGTCAGTGCAGCCAAACAACACCACCGTAATCGAAATCGATGGCAGCGGCTTTTGTCGGTATAATAGAAATCAGGACATTGGTGTCCTATTTTTCCCTTATCTTATGACACAACAACAACAGCGTTATGGCACGCACTCATGACACCTCAACAACACCGTCATGACACTCATAACACCTCTACAACAGCGCCATGACACTCATAACACCTTAACAACAATCAACTGCCTCAGACCCGTTACTAGTCAACAAAATCAGCCATTAGAACCGTGCAAATATCAACACTGTAAATATGCTCAAGATACAAGCACTGTAAATATTCTTTTAACTCTCTATCCCTCTGGATTTTATTCCCATCTTTTCGCCAATCCTAACTCACTCTTCCATCCCATCTTCCTCACCCCCTCCCCTCTCTATTCTTCTTTTCAGCTATCCTTCAAACCTTTCTTACAATCATGCCCCTTCATTCCGACTATTCCTCTCGTCTCGTTCTATCCCTCCCTACCATCCTTATGATCCTTCCTTAACTTTCCCATCAGACCTTCCCTCGCCTTTAAATTGAACCCTCTCTCTCTCTCTCTCTCTCTCTCTCTCTCTCTCTCTCTCTCTCTCTCTCTCTCTCTCTCTCTCTCTCTCTCTCTCTCTCTCTCTCTCTCTCTCTCTCTCCTCTTTCCCTCTCCTTATCACTCAGCTTCCTTCCTGCTCTTTTTTCCAGTCCCTTCTATTTATGTTTCCCTCCATTTACCTTTCTTTGCCCCTTCCCTCCACCTTCCCTTCCCTCCAGGGAGCCGGTCGGCCGAGCGGACAGCACGCTGGACTTGTGATCCTGTGGTCCTGGGTTCGATCCCAGGCGCCGGCGAGAAACAATGGGCAGAGTTTCTTTCACCCTATGCCCCTGTTACCTAGCAGTAAAATAGGTACCTGGGTGTTAGTCAGCTGTCACGGGCTGCTTCCTGGGGGTGGAGGCCTGGTCGAGGACCGGGCCACGGGGACACTAAAGCCTCGAAATCATCTCAAGATAACCTCAAGATAGCCCGTGAGTAGTGAGGATGTAGACAGAGCCCGTGAGTAGTGAAGGTGTAGAGGTAGCCCATGAGTAGTGAGGATGTAGACGGAGCCCGTGAGTAGTGAGGGTGTAGACGGAGCCCGTGAGTAGTGAGGATATAGATGGATACCGTGAGCAGTGAGGATGCATACGGGACCAGTGAGAATGACGCACAGAGCCCATGAGTAGTGAACACGAAGATGTTAGTCATGCACTTGGGTTCTGTCTGCATCCCCGCTACTATTTCTGACTCTACAGAAGGGTTGACTGGTCTCTGGTAATCTAACACACCATTCTACATGGTGGGATGGTGTGTTAGGTTAGGTTTATCAAAATATTGAAGCTATAAATGGGATCGAACCCACATTCCTGAACCCCTCGGGCATGCACACTACCCACAGGACCATGACGGGGCTAAATAAATATCTCAACCAAATCACACGTCCTTCTACTTTCAATGTGCACTTTTCAGTCATTATTGATTATTAGGACATTAAAGAATGGTAATCAATTGGCTTTCGTTTTCTCTTGTATTAATTAAACAAAAGAGGATTCATTCTCTCAGAAAACTCTATCTCACTGTTTCTTCCCATCCTCAATTCTGAACTTAATATGTAGAGAAACTCCAGTTAGCAAGTAAAATTCAAGCTATTATGACTATAATACTTGGACGAGATCAGGATAAGTATTTGGGATGGGATGGGGGGAGGGGGAAGGAATTGTGGACATCCTCTTGGATGGTTGGGAATTGAACGCTGACCTGCATGAAGCGAGACCGTCGTTCTACCGTCCAGCCCAAGTGGTTGGGTTTATGTTTTGGGAGTCCTTTAATAATAAATGATGAAACTATATGGGCTTAGGCCATAGAGTTTCTCCACATATCATCTCCGTCAACTTCATGAAGCCCCTTTTGGGGGTGGGGGGCATCAGGGCAGATCCCATCCATCTCCCTACACCCACCAGTCACCCTACAAAGTTTGGTGAGGCTAGCCCCAAGCGTCTGGCTTCGATTGATGGATATGGACAGAGACATATATATACTCTTTCATAGTTTTAAAATATGTTTCAGCTGAAAGGTACTCAACTACTTTAACTAGTCAGTACACTGACAGCCTCACTTCTTACAGGCCGCTGTTCGATCCCAGAAAGGTCCAAGCAGTTGGACTCCATTCCTTCCCTCTGTCCTATCCCAGATCCTTATATATCACTTCCAAGAGCTGGCTTAATTAGTGCTTTCTTAAAATTACCTCATCTGAAAAGTTCCATTCAATTTCTCTCCTTGTATCTACGACAAAAATCTCTCTCTCTCTCCTGCTCACAACGCGAGATTTTAATTAATGAATTATTGATAATTTTTCACCGCCGCTTTCCCTGCCTTTTTTTATAAAGTATGGCCAGTGAAATGGCATTTAGGAATGATCCCAGTGAAACTGCCAGCTAACATATGTTATCATCGGTCAGTTTTCCTGAAACCTTATCCTTTAAATGGATTTATTTCATGAGATTCTCTCTCTCTCTCTCTCTCTCTCTCTCTCTCTCTCTCTCTCTCTCTCTCTCTCTCTCTCTCTCTCTCTCTCTCTCTCTCTCTCTCTCTCTAGGCCTTCCGGGTCTTGACTTGATCTTTACAGCATTCAAATAATTCAGTTTCAAAACACCTGTTGTTTTCCTACCACGAAAAGCTCTTCCACCCAATTAAACCTTACGAACTTTTTACACGTAAGACGACCGGTGGAGGTGGTAATTGCCTCGTTAAGGTCACAATGGTAGAGCTAAGTTCGTCCTAACGAGGGACACCGACAATTCTCTTCAGATTTACTCTGGAGAGCCGTGTGTGCCATTATATAATCCTGATATTTGAACAGATTTATCAAGGTCGCCTTTTGTTTTAAAATGAGGTCATCTGGTGAAACAAGCAGATGTCAATGGTACAGTCTGGTTTGTTCTCGACTCACAGTCTGGAATTCCGAGTTCGAATCCCGGGCGGGACAGAAATGGTTAGAAACTTTTCACATTCTCATTTGTCAAAAAGCTTGTATCGAGGTCCCCTCTCCAAGGTCAAATTACTGACCCTCCCCAGGATATAACCCCATAACAATTGTCTAACTCGCAGGTACCTATATACTGCTAGGTGAAGAGGTGCATTAGGCGAAAGGAAACTTGCCCACCACTTCTGTTCCTCCAGGGAATCGAACCCAGGGTCCCCGATTGCAAGTCGAAAACCCACAAGACAGCATCTTGCCATGGAGGGGAAAAAGGTTTGTGATAATGGAAGATGGTGATTAGCATGAGATCTTGTGTACAGGTGGTAAGACGGTGTTGCTGGCGACTCCTCTTTCCTTCCTTGAGAGAGAGACAGAGACAGAGACAGAGACAGAGAGAGAGAGAGAGAGAGAGAGAGAGAGAGAGAGAGAGAGAGAGAGAGAGAGAGAGAGAGAGAGAGAGAGAGAGAGAGAGAGAGAGAGAGACAGACTCGAGGAAGTCACGTGTTATCCTCACTGCCACCGCTGCCAGGCTCACCAACTCTGCCTCATTCAGTCGCTCCTCGACCGTTGTTGAGACTGTACGTCACCTCCCGTCCGCTCCAGGTGTGACTCGTGTACTGACGTGACCCACTTCTTCTGTGACGTGACATACACTCACCTCTTCTGACCTTAGTTCCTGTGACGTTACAGATTCCTACAACATGTACACTTCTGTAATCTTGGGACGAGCATCTGCCAGTGACCAGAAATTTTCCATATAAATATGACCTTTCATAAGGTCTGATCTCTGTTGGTATGGTCTCTCCTGTTGCTTAATTAAGCTTACTCTCTGTGACCTTTAAGAACTTCCTGGTTTTCAAGCTCTCTCATGTGTATGGTGACCTTTCTGTGTGTGAATTGACCTGATCACGTGTGATCACTTTATCTTTGATCTTGTTAATTTTTCTTGTGACCTAACGTGCCTCCTATGAAGCAACTGTGGCACCTACAAGTTGACCTTGTGCTCCACCCCCCCTCCTGACTGACCTTCGCCCCCACACCCTGACCTCTCCCATGACCTATCCTATATAGTATACACATTACCAAGTACCAGCCAATATAACCCTCTCTTAACCCTCTAGAGTGATTTGATCAGTGTGTAACAAAACACTAACTCATCAATTAACAATCTCAAACATCAACTTTTAAATTTAAAACTACCGTTTTAAAACTACTAATCGCTTTATGGGAATAGTTTCTCACAAATCCCTATTCAAACTACCGCAGATTTCGAACTAAAAATATATTAAAAGGTAATTTGATTTAAACCAAACAACAGTTTTATATTCCAACTTACAATAGTGAATCAGATTCTTGCTTACTGAAAACAAGCAAGAAAAGCAAGTACTCACCTAATTGTGCTTGCGGGGGTTGAGCTCTGGTTCTTTGGTCCCGCCTCTCAACCGTCAATCAACTGGTGTACAGATTCCTGAGCCTATTGGGTTCTATCATATCTACATTTGAAGTGAAGTGTTTACAAACGAGTACTCACCTAGTTGTGCTTGCGGGGGTTGAGCTCTGGCTCTTTGGTCCCGCCTCTCAACCGTCAATCAACTGGTGTACAGATTCCTGAGCCTATTGGGCTCTATCATATCTACATTTGAAGTGAAGTGTTTACAAACGAGTACTCACCTAGTTGTGCTTGCGGGGGTTGAGCTCTGGCTCTTTGGTTCCGCCTCTCAACTGTCAATCAACTGGCGTGTGGGTGTGTGAAGCAAGAGTCGTGTGTTTGTGTCATCCAAACACCGGGGTGGAGGAGGCTTGCTTAGACAGGTGAGTGTTTGTGTACCGCTAAGTATACCGTTATTAATACTGTCCTTATACCGTTATTATCACTGTTCTTATGACGTTATTAACACTCTTATACCGTTACCACTGTTGTTATACCGTCATTACTGTTATACCGTCATTACTGTTATACCGTTGTTACTACTGTTGTTATACCGTCATTATCACTGTTGTTATAACGTCATTACTACTGTTGTTATACCGTCATTACTGTTATACCGTTGTAACTACTGTTGTTATACTGTCATTACTGTTATACCGTCATTACAACTGTTGTTATACCGTCATTAACACTGTTGTTATACCGTCACTACCACTGTTGTTATACCGTCATTACTGTTATACCGTTGTTACTACTGTTGTTATACCGTCATTACTACTGTTGTTATACCGTCATTACTTCTGTTGTTATACCGTCATTACTTCTGTTGTTATACCGTCATTACCACTGTTATTATACCATAATTACTACTGTTGTTATACCGTCATTATCACTGTTATACCGTCATCAGAATAATAACAAATTCTGCTTTCAGACAACACTCAGCCCCCTTGTTTAACTCCCTAAACATGCTAAACATAATCTCACTCCACAAATTCTCTTGTGTCAACTACATTTACAAAACCCTGTTCCTAAATGCAAATCCTGCTCTGAAACTCTCCCTGGACAGATGTAATAGGACCCATTATCACCACACCAGAAATAAATATCTCTTTGATATCCCCAGAGTTGAACTTAATCTGTGTAAACACTCTATGCAAATAAAGGGACCCAGTCTATGGAACTCACTTCCTATTGAATTGAAAAGCTGTCCAACTTTTGCGCCATTCAAAAACAATAATAAAAAGTACCTAATTTCATCTTCATAGTTTTTTACCTTTTGCTTTAAAATTCATTGAATCTAATGCTACCCAATCTCCCAATCTTTATGTACCCAATCCGAACATCTTTACCATTGTGATCATTGCTGCCTTCTTATATGTGCTGTTAATCTACTGTATAGTGTCTATTAATCTTGTTTAAATTACCACTCAAGCTGTCAATGTAATCAATCAGAGCTTTAATATACCAATGTGCTTTAATATACTTACTAATCTCTCTCATCTCATTTTTTTCTTGTAATGTATTTGTTATCATTTTATTAATTCCGCTAGAATTAACCTACTTAAAATTATCTGTTAGATTAAGGACCTGCCCGAAACGCTGCGCGTACTAGTGGCTTTACAAGATTGTAAATACTATGCTATGTATTCTCACAAACCCAATGTACCTTCTTGTATATAAATAAATAAATTACCACTGTTGTTATACCGTCGTTACTACTGTTGTTATACCATCATTACTTCTGTTGTTATACGTCGTTACTTCTGTTGTTATACCGTCATTACTACTGTTTTTATACCGTCATTACTACTGTTGTTATACCGTCGTTACTACTGTTGTTATATCATCATTACTTCTGTTGTTATACCGTCGTTACTACTGTTGTTATACCGTCGTTACTACTGTTTTTATACCGTCATTACTACTGTTGTTATACCGTCGTTACTACTGTTGTTATATCATCATTACTTCTGTTGTTATACCGTCGTTACTACTGTTGTTATACCATCATTAGTTCTGTTGTTATACGTCGTTACTTCTGTTGTTATACCGTCATTACTACTGTTGTTATACCGTCGTTACTACTGTTGTTATACCATCATTACTTCTGTTGTTATACGTCGTTACTTCTGTTGTTATACCGTCATTACTACTGTTGTTATACCGTCGTTACTACTGTTGTTATACCATCATTACTTCTGTTGTTATACCGTCATTACTACTGTTGTTATACCGTCATTACTACTGTTGTTATACCGTCATTACTACTGTTGTTATACCGTCATTACTACTGTTGTTATACCGTCATTACTACTGTTGTTATACCGTCATTACTTCTGTTGTTATACCGTCATTACTACTGTTGTTATACCGTCATTACTACTGTTGTTATACCGTCATTACTTCTGTTGTTATACCGTCATTACTACTGATGAGGTCTTCTGCAAGGATTTTTATATAGTCCAACGCTGTTCTCAATATGTGGCTTCAGCATGTATATTGTTCAGCATGTTCCTCTGGATACCATCACATGCTGAGATCTCAAAGCATGACGCTGTTGATATGCTTGCAAAGACAGCCTGTAGTAGACACTGATATGGGTGTTTCATTAGCAGTGACAAAGTACTTAAACACATATCTAATGAAAATCTTACTGACCTAACAAATTTACAAAGACTTGAAAGTTGTAGTATTAATCATGATGATAAATATCGTGAGGAGACATTCATATATGGAACTAATAGAGCCAAAATACTCGACAATGTGATGTTATAGTGGCCAGAATACGCCTGGGATATAGACGTATCTGGCAGCTCTCTCAAAACCCAAATGTCGAGTACACCATGTGTCAACTTTGTGAAAGTGTCGAATACACCACGTGTCAACTTTGTGAAGGTGTCGAATGCACCATGTTTCAACTTTGTTAAGGTGTCGAATGCACCATGTTTCAACTTTGTGAAAGTGTCGAATACACCATGTGTCAACTTTGTGAAGGTGTTGAATACCCCACGTGTCAACTTTGTGAATGTGTCGAATACACCACGTGTCAACTTTGTGAAATATAAAACATACACTCCTTGAACATTATATTACAGAATGTCCCATATTGACTGACTTTCGCCCTCCTGGGCTGAGGTATGCTGAAGTCTATAAATACTAAATGAATACTGGATCACTTTATTATATATTCTGCTTGTACCCAAGATTGACTATGTAATGCATCAGTTATACAATGTTTGTGATGTAACTATAACCTGAGCTTGTAAAGGCACCCTAATCACCTTCAGTGGTTAGGGGCTTAATAACACACTAGTTTCTGTAGCAGCTGTCAAAGTTGGACAGCTTAGCACCCTGTCAAAGTAGGAGAGACATAAATGTATGTGAATGTGTGTGTGTACTCACCTAATTGTACTCACCTAATTGTGCTTGCGGGGGTTGAGCTTTGGCTCTTTGGTCCCGCCTCTCAACTGTCAATCAACTGGTGTACAGATTCCTGAGCCTACTGGGCTCTATCATATCTACATTTGAAACTGTGTATGGAGTCAGCCTCCACCACATCACTTCCTAGTGCATTCCATTTATTAACTACTCTGACACTGAAAAAATTCTTTCTAACGTCTCTGTGGCTCATCTGGGTACTAAGTTTCCACCTGTGTCCCCTTGTTCGTGTCCCACCCGTGCTGAAGAGTTTGTCTTTGTCCACCCTGTCAATTTCCCTGAGAATTTTGTAGGTGGTTATCATGTCTCCCCTTACTCTTCTGTTTTCCAGGGATGTGAGGTTCAGCTCCTTTAGCCTTTCCTCGTAGCTCAATCCTCTCAGTTCCGGGACGAGCCTGGTGGCATACCGCTGAATCTTCTCTAACTTTGTCTTGTGTTTAACTAGGTATGGACTCCAGGCTGGAGCTGCATACCCCAGGATTGGTCTTACATAAGTGGTATACAGGATACATACAGTATGTGTGTGTGTGTGTGTGTGTGTGTGTGTGTGTAATTACCTAAGTGTAATTACCTAAGTGTAGTTACAGGATGAGAGCTACGCTCGTGGTGTCCCGTCTTCCCAGCACTCTTTGTCATATAACGCTTTGAAAAATAACGTAACAAGTGTGTGTGTGTGTGTGTGTGTATGTGTATATATATGTATATGTACATGAATGTATTTGTGTGCGTGTGTGTCTGTGTGTGTATGTATGTGTATACAGGATATATGGAAGCTCGTCAGAATTGCATTTCACCTTTGTAAACGCACATTAATGACACTATGTAAAAAGACACCTCGAACACTGTTTATGTAGGGCAGATGTAAATCTGTGTATTTATGTTTATAGGTTAGATTAGCATTTTATAAGCACTACAATCACCTTCTGTGGTTGGTTGTTCAATACTTATTGTCTCCCACCTTCACTAACGATCCACAGGTTTTGTTACAATCATCTAGGTCAAGCATATAGGTCAATCTAGGTCAAGCAGGTCAAGAAGGTGAAGCATCTAGGTCAATCTAGGTCAAGCAGGTCAAGTAGGTCAAGCATCTAGGTCAAGCAGGTCAAGTAGGTCAAGCAGGTCAAGTAGGTCAAGCATCTAGGTCAATCTAGGTCAAGCAGTGTTTGTGTTATGGCTGACACAAGTATTAGTCGAATAAATTACCGGTTCATGGTAAGCCTTTTAAAGACATAGGTTACAGTTCCTGGCTAAAGTCGGTACTCTGTAGCTAGGCCCCACGATGAGGAAGTTCACAGTCAGAACGTAGCGCACTTTCTCCACGGTTTCTAATAATTCTGCTTTTGTTTACTCAAAGCGTATTTAAGAGGTAATCCACGCTTGCTCATCCACGCTAGCTTCCAATACGGATTCTTGAGTGTGCAGTTCCTGAAAGACTCGAGTCTTTGACGTCTTCACCGCCACTCCGTCTCCTCAAAGTCAGAATTGAAGGAAACCTTCAATTCAGTCTCCTTGGAGACTCATCTCCCAGGGGCCACTTGCCTACAGGATGTAAAGTCTCTGAGACTGCAAGACTTGCTTTATTAAGCTGCTGCTTACTCGCGGAGGATCTTGGAGTCATCACGCATAGTTCTTCCATTGAAGCCGTTGAAAGACTACGTGTTGTGGGAATCAGGGAAGCAGGAAAGGGGGTACATGCCTTTTCAGTGGACGGAACTTCTTGCTCAAGTGAACCGAATTTGCGACTGAAAGGATGCAAAATGCTTAGTAGATAAAACTGTCAACATTGCTGCATTCAGGATGTAGCTTCGTCTTTGAGAATGTCAGCTTGTGAATTTGAAACTGGAGTACTTTCTTAAACTGCAGGTAAATATACCGACTGGCACTTCAACATACGTGGCAGTTATACATGAATTTAGAACTCTATTTTCCCGACGATTTGTCG